ACCTCAGCCTCCCAAAGGCGCGGGATTACAGGCTGAGCCACCGAGCCCGGCTAGAAAGCAGGATTTATTGAGAGGACAGAAAAGCTCCCACAATGGGAAGGGACCTGAGAGGGTTGCCCTGTGCCACACCTTTTTATCACCTTTAGCATCAGCTCAAACAATTTATACCATCCCAGTTTACACATGAGGAAACAGAGGTCGCTGGCCAGCGTTTAGGTTCTCTAGGCAGAACCCAAGCTCTTAACCGTTTCAACAAACTGCTCCTACAACATTTAGCATAGTTCTCGGCACATGGTAAGTGTTCCATAATCTTCAGTTGGTATTATAGCTTGGCCGAGTTATAGTATTGAAGGCAAATTCCTCCAACAAATATTGAGTGAGTACCTGTGGTGTTCCAGGCTCTTCTAAGGGCTGGGGATGAAGCAGTAAACACAATAGACAGAGTCCCTACTCCTAGTAGGGGAAGAAGATGGGAAACAGGACACCAGGTAACTTTAGGGTGCGGTGGCAGGGCACAGGTGATAGGGAGGAAAGGCGGGTAAAGGGGATTGGCTATGCTGAGCTGAGGGAGGGGCTTGGCAATTTTTATTTTGTCCCCCCCCCACCGGCTGGTTGGAGTCTCAGTCTGTCACCCAGGCTGGAGTGCAGTGGCACACTCACAGCCATCGCAGCCTTGACCTGCTGGGCTCAGGCCATCCTTCTGCCTCAGCCTTTCAAGGAGCTGGAACCACAGGTGTGCTCCACCATGCCCAGCTAATTTTTTATTTATTTATTGTAGAGATGAGATCTCACCAAGTTGCGCAGTTGGTCTCAAACTGTGAGCTCAGGTAATCCTCTCATCTCAGTCTCCCAAAGTGCTGGGATTATAGGTGTGAGCCACTGTGCACAGCCTTTTTTTGTTTTTTTGGGTTTTTTTTGAGCAAGGGTCTCACTCTGTTGCCCAGGTTGGAGTACAGTTACATGATCACAATCACACCTCAGGCAATCCTTCCACCTCATCATCCAGAGTAGCTGGGGACTACAGGTGCATGCCACCATGCCCAGCTAATTTTTTTTTTAAATGAGGTCTTGCTATGTTGCCCAGACTGGTCTTGAACTCCAGGTCTCAGGTAATCCTTCCACTTGGCCTCTCAAAGTGCTGAGATTACAGACATGAGCCACTGCACCTGGCCATTTACTTATTTTTTTAAGTTGGGGTCTCACTCTGTCACCCAGGCTGGAGTGCAGTGGCACAATCACAGCTCACTGCAGCCTCGGTCTCCTGGTCTCAAGCAATCCTTCCACCTCAGCCTCTTGAGTAGCTGGGACTACAGGTATGTGCCACCATGTCCAGCTAATTTTTTAAATTTATTTTTTGTAGAGATGGGCTCTCACTATGTTGCCCAGGCTGGTCTCAGATTCTTGGGCTCAAGCGATCCTCCCACCTTGACCTCCTGAATTGCTGGGATTGCAGGTGTGATCCACTGCACTTGGCAGCAACTTTCAATAAAAGGTCAGGGAAAACTGCACTAAAAAGTGAACTTTGAGCAAATTCTGCCAGGAAAAGAAGGAGGGAGCCATGTGGCTATGAGGTGGAAATGCATTGCAGGCAGAGGGACACCTAGCCGTTGCCAAGGCTGGGAGGCAGAGCCTGGGTAGAGCAGAGGAGAGAAGGGGAGAATGTGGGTGGTGATGCCAGAGAGCTGCTGGGGCCAGATCTAGTGGGGCCTCGAGGGCCAGCCATGATGAGGACTTTGCTTCTATCCTGAGTGAGATGGAACCAGGGATGTGGCCTGATCCAGGTATTCACAGACTACTGGCTGTGTGTTGGGACAGGGAGACCAGGCAGCAGTCTGCTGCGGTGGTCCAGGTAAGGGGTAACAGTGAACAGGACCGCGTGAGGTGAGAAGAGGTTGGATTTTAAATTACTGTGATCTGCTGAGAGCCCTTGTCTGGAGTGTGAGAGAAAGAGAGGAGGCCGCGAGGACACCCCTGATTTTGCCTCTGGAAGGCAGCGGCGAGCCCCAGCAGGGTGCTGTCCCAGCATCAAGATGAGAGAGCCCAGGCTGACCCTGCCCTGTGTCCCCCTCCAGCCTTTCTGCTGTGGGACCCAGCCAAGGTGCCCCCGCGACTGCAGGACGTGACCGATGACCACATCCGGATGCACAAGGTGCTGCAGGAGTCAGGCCTGAAGTACGTGGCTGTGATGCCACCACATATAGGTAAGTAGAGCAGGGACCCGGTGGCACTGACACTGCCTGTTTGTTTCTTCCTAACCTCTGGGAAGACTTGCAACATAAGTCATAAGCCTAAAATTACAGACCTTCCTGTGATATGTGAAATGTCTATTTGGTCTTCCTCCCTGTTTTCTGGCATAAAATCCTTAGAATTTCCAAAATGATAAATGTTTTTCTGTATGCTAATGAGTTGGCTGATGGCTGGCAGCTCCTTGGTAGCTTTGGGATAGAGCTGGTCACCAGAAAGACCAAGGATGGATTAGAGGATTAGGACTTTCAGCCCCACCCCTCAACCTCCAGGGAAGGGAGAGGGACTGAAGGTTGAGTTGATCACCAATGGTCAGTGGTTTAATCCATTGTGCCTAGTAACGAAGCTTCCATAAAAACCCCAAAGGGTTGAGTTCCGGGAATTTCTGGATAGCATATAAAGGGCATGGAAGCCCTGCACATCTTCCTACATGCTGTGAGCTACACATATCTTCATCTTTATCCTTTGTAATATTCATCATAATAAATAAGTAGGCTGGGTGTGGTGGCTCACACCTGTAATCCCAGCACTTTGGGAGGCTGAGGTGGGAGGATTGCTTGAGCCCTGGAGTTCGAGACCAACCAGGGAAACATAGTGAGACCTCATCTGTACAAACAAAAAAAAAAATTTTTTTTCAGTTGGAGTTTCACTCTTTTCACCCAGGCTGGAGTGCAGTGGCATGCTCACGGCCACCACAGCCTTGACCTGATGGGCTTAGGCAATCCTTCCACCTCAGCCTTCCATGTAGCTGGAACTACAGACATATGCCACCACACCCGGCCGGTTTTTGTGATTTATTGTAGAGACCAGGTCTCACTAAGTTGCCCAGGCTAGTCTCGATCCCCCAGACTCAGGCAGTCCTCTCCCCTCAGCCTCCCAAAGTGCTGGAATTACGGGCTGAGCCACCACACCTGGCCCCCCCCCCCCCAATTTTTTTTTTTAAAGTAGCTGGGTGGAGCCGGGCTCAGTGGCTCAGCCTGTAATCCCGCGCCTTTGGGAGGCTGAGGTGAGTGGATTGCCTGAGCAAGGCGGGTTGGAGACCCGCCTGGACAGGCGAGACCTCATCTCTACAATAAATCAAAAAATCAGACAGGCGTGGTAGCGCGCGCCTGTAATTCCGGCTACTTGGAAGGCTGAGGCGGAAGGATCTCTGGAGCCCAGCAGGTCGAGGCTGCGGTGGCCGGAAGCTGCCACTGCACTCCAGTCTGGGTGACAGAGTGAGACTCCGACTCAAAAAAAAAAAGGTAGCTGGGTGTATACCTGTATTCCTACCTGCTCAGGAAGCTGAGGCAGAAGGATCACTTGAACTGCAGTGAGCTATGTCCAGGCTAGTATGCTAACCTGGGTAAGAAGGCAAGCCCCTGTCTCTATAAAGATACAATAAACTAGTACACATTGTGTTTCCCTGAATTATGTGAGCCACTCTGTCTAGCTGGCCGGTCGGCATACGTAACACAACCTAGGGCTTGCATTTAGAATTAGATATTGGGGGCAGTTTTGAGGGACTGAGCCCTCACACCATGGGATCTGATGCCATTGAGGTTGCTCAGAATTGAATTGAATCAGAGGACACCCAGCTGATGTCTGCTGCAGAATTTTTTTTTTTTTTTTTTTTTGAGTTGGAGTCTCTCTCTGTCGCCCAAACTGGAGTGCAGTGGCCGCTCCCGGACACCGCAGCCTCGACCTGCTGGGCTCCGGTGATCCTTCCGCCTCAGCCTTCCAAGTAGCCGTAATTACAGGCATGCGCTACTACACCCGGCTGATTTTTTGATTTATTGTAGAGATGAGGTCTCGCCTGCCCAGGCAGGTCTCCAACCTGCGGGCTCAGGCAATCCACTCACCTCAACCTCCCAAAGGCTCGGGATTACAGGCTGAGCCACCGAGCCCGGCTTGCTGCAGAATTTTTGCTCAGTGTGTGTGGAAAACCCCCACACATTAGGTCTCAGAAATCTTCTTTCTCTGTTGATATATATATATAATATATATATATATATATTAGCGACAGGATCTCACTATGCTGCCCAGTTGAACTCCTAGCTCAAACAATCCTCCTGCCTTGGCTTCCAAAGTACTGGGATTACAGGCATGAGCCACTGTGTCTAGCCTCTATTGACTGTTGAGTAAGAAACTAGGAAAAACACTTTGTTTTTCTTTTTGTTTTTTTTTTCCTGTATCCTCCAACTTCTCTCCACATTTTCTATCCTCCTTCCCTGGTTATTTTGTCTCCTTTCTAACATAGGGTTCAGCTACCTGGACTTAACAAATCACCCAAAATGCAGAAATGTAAAACAACAACTATCATTCATTATGATTATCTCTCTCAGTACTGGGTTCAGTGGGTGGTTCTTGCATGGAGTCACCCATGCAGCTGTGCAGCCAGATGGTGGCTGGGCATGGAATCCTGGGGAAGGCTTCTTCATGGACACATCTGGTGGTTGTTCCATTGACTGGAATGCCTGCAACCTGCACGCAGCCTCCTCGTGTGGTCAGGGCTTCCTCACACTATGGCAGCTGGGCTTCCATGGCAAGACTCTTGAGAGAGAGCTATGTGGAAGATATGGCATCTTTTATGGCCTAGTGTCAGAAGTTACTCCTTGCCATTTCTGCTGTATTCTGTTCATTAGAAGTGAGTTATTAGAGCTGCCCCATATTTGAGGAGAGGGGACTTTAACACACATATCAGATATGTTATTTATCTTATTTAGTGTGTCTCTTCCTCACTAGAATGTTGACTCTTTGTAGGCAGGGATTTTTGTCTTGTTAGGATCACAGTTGTAGTCCTAGTGCCTAGAATAGGGCCTAGATGCTCAATAAATAGTTATTGGGGCCAGGTATGGTGGCTCACACCTATAATCTCAGCACTTTGGGAGGCTGAGGCAGGAGAACAACTTGAGCCCAGGAGTTCGAGACCAGGCTAGGTAACGTAGCGAGACCTTATCTCTACAAAACATTTAAAAATTAGCCTGGCATGGTGGTGCACGCCTGTAGTCCCAGCTACTCAGGAGGCTGAGGTGGAAGGATCACTTGAGCCCAGGAGGTCAAGGCTGCAGTGAACTGTGATTGTGCCACTGCATTCCAGCCTGGGCGACAGGACAAGACTCCGACTCGAAAAAGAGAAAAAAAGTTGCTGGATGACTTAATATAAGGGAACCACACCTTATTGTAATGTTGCAGAACGAACCAGTAAGCTACACCAGCACCCCTTTTTCCTCTCCCACGTCTGGAATCCATATTGAGAGAGACACAGATTCATTCATTCAACAAATGTCTCTTGTGTGCCTGGCTGCCAGTTTAAGAACTGGAGACACAGTCCCTGCTCTCATGAGCTCACAAAACTTATGTTTCTATTGAGGGAAATAGATATATAAAAATGTAGACCCATGGCCAGGCACGGTGGCTCAAGCTTGTAATCCCAGCACTTTGGGAGGCTGAGGCGAGTGGACTGCCTGAGCCTGCAGGTTCAAGACCAGCCTGGGCAACTTGGCGAAACCTCGTCTCTACAATAAATCAAAAATTAGCCGGCTACTTGGAGGGCTGAGGCGGAAGGATGGCCGGAGCCCAGCAGGTCGACGCTGGGGTGGCCATGAGTGTGCCACTGCACTCCAGCCTGGGCGATGGAGTGAGACTCCAACTCAAAAAAAAAAAAAAAAGATCTAGTCGGGCTGGGCACAGTGGCTCACGCTTGTAACCCCAGCACCTTGGGAGGCTGAGGCGAGAGGATTGCCTGAGCCCAGGGGTTCAAGACCAGCCTGGGCAACTTGGCGAGACCTCATTTCTACAACAAATCAAAAAATTAGCCGGGCCTGGTGGCGTGCTCCTATAGTTCCAGCTACTTGGAAGGCTGAGGCGGAAGGATCACCCGAGCCCAGGAAGTCGAGGCTTCAGTGGCCATGAGCGTGCCACTGTACTCCAGCCTGGGCTACAGAGTGAGACTCCGACTCAAAAAAAAAAAAAAGAGATTTGTTGAATGAATGAAGCAAACGGTATAGATGAGCATCAGCACATGGGAAGTCTATTCTTGGGTGTGTTATACCACCCAGGCCGGGCACACAGTAGCACCCTGGGTAGGTCTTTTGAATGATCATGTGCTGGGGGAGGGGAAAGGACACCTGCTTTACCTGGCCTCTCCGTCTTCACCTCACAGGAGATCAGCCGCTAACTGGAGCCTACACAGTGACTCTGGACGGACGAGGGCCTTCGAGAGTCATCTCCAAACATGACCTGGGCCACTTCATGCTGCGCTGCCTCACCACCAATGAGTATGATGGGCACAACACCTACCCCTCCCACCAGTACGACTAGGACTCTGGTCCTGTCTGGGAGGATGGCGTTTGGGGATGTGAGGAACAAAGGAATGGAGCAATAAATTTTGAGCCAAGAGCTTCAGATTATTCTCGAGGACCGGACTCTGTGACTCTTCCTCTTTCTGCCTTTATCTGAGTATTTCGGTGTATCTACCTGCCTCTGCGTAAGGGTATTTGTTCAGTAACAATTTTCTTTTTTTTTTTTTTTTTTTGAGCTGGAGTCTCACTCTGTCACCCAGGCTGAAGGGCAGTGGCATGCTCCCGGCCACTGCAGCCTCAACTTGCTGGGCTCAGGTGATCCTTCCGCCTAAGCTTTCCAAGTAGCTAGAACCACAGGCATGCACCACCACACCCGGCTAATTATTTGATTTATTGCAGAGATGAGGTCTTGCCAAGTTGCCCAGGCTGGTCTCGAACACATAGGCTCAGGGAATCCTCTCACCTCAGCCTTCCAAGGAGCTGGCATAATAGGCACGAGCCACTGCGCCCGGCCTGTTCAGTAACAATTTAATGAGCCTCTCTTCTTTGTCCACCTCTGTGTCAGGGACCCAGTGGTGCATATAAAACATTATCACAGCCGGGCTTGGTGGCTCAGCCTGTAATCCCGCACCTTGGGAGGCTGAGTTGAGTGGATTGCCTGAGCCTGCGGGTTCGAGACCCGCCTGGGCAACTTGGCGAGACCTCATCTCTACAATAAATCAAAAATTAGCCGGGCGTGGTGGCGCGCGTCTGTAGTTCCAGCTACTTGGAAGGCTGAAGTGGAAGGATCGCCGGAGCCCAGCAGGTCGAGGCTGCGGTGGCCAGGAGCGGCACTGCACTCCAGTCTGGGTGACAGAGTGAGACTCCAACTAAAAAAAAAAAACAAAAAAAACATTATCACATCTAAGAGAGCTGACATTTATTCAATCATATCACTTAGTATCCACTCCATGTTCAGATTTTTCCAGTTATCAGAAATACCTTTATGTTTATGTTTTTATTTTTTGAGTTGAAGTCTCATGCTGTTGCCCAAACTATAAGTGCAGTGGCACACTCATGGCCACCACAACCTCGACCCGCTGGGCTCAGGTGATCCTTCCACCTCAGCCTTCCAAGTAGCTGGAACTATAGGCTCACGCCACCATGCCTGGCTAATTTTTAAATTTATTGTAGAGAGGAGGTCTCGCCAAGTTTCCCAGGCCGGTCTCGAACCCCTGGACTCAGGCAATCCTCTCGCCTCGGCCTCCCAAAATGCTGGGATTACAGAATTGAGCCACTGCACCCGGCAGAAAATACCTTTCAGTCTACCCCATCCTCCCCGTGACACCATCAGGATTGAATCAAGGATCATGCATCACATTTAGTTTCCGTGATACCAAGATAGCTGTAAGCCCTGCTTTCGTGGATCTCGTAGTCCAGTGGGAAGGACAGCACTGCCCTTGACAGTGACAACCCAGAATGGCCAAAGCTCTGGTGCTCTGAGAAATTGTAGGAGCCCAGAGGACGTGCCTGATTTCGCTTGAGGAACAAAAAAGGCTATGTGGACCAGGCACGGTGGCTCATACCTGTAATCTCAGCACTTTGGGAGGTCAAGGCAGGAGGGCAGCTTGGGTCTACAGTCTAGGCAACATAGTGAGACCTAGTCTCTACAATAAATACAAATAAAAGGCTTTGTGGCAGAGGGGATGTCCTACCTGGAACCTGGTTTGGTGAGTATAGGCTGAGAGAAGGTTCTATGGCATAATAGCATTCCCAGCAGAAAGAACAACATGAGCAAAGACCAGGAGCCATGGAAAGTCCTTGGATCTTTTGAAGAACTAAAATCTGTCCTCTGCAGTTAACAATACTTCTACTCTGAGATGAGGAGGGACAGACCTAAGAGGCTGGTCCATGATGGTTAAATTGTGCAGAGTTTTTGTAAAATGTTTGAGCTTTATTCCGAGATTTTATGAAGGAATGGAATACAATAGAGGTGGGGAGTAGAAAACACGTGTGTGTTTTATAAAGCTTCCCTTGGCTACTGTGAAGGTGGATCAGAGGGGCATAGCAGTGGAGGCTGAGGGGGGACATAATCCCAGCACTTTGAGAGGCCTAGGTGAGAGCGTTGCTTGAGCCCAGGAGTTTGAGACCAGCCTGGGCAACACAGAAAGACCCCGTCTGTTTTTTTTTTAAATTTAGAAGGAAAAAAAAAAAAAGTGAAAGCTGAGAGCCCAGGGAAAGTTGGATTAAGGCAAGGAGCCTTGAGAGCAGGAGGAATGTTCAGGAGACTTGAGTGACAGTCCCTGAAGGAGGGGAGGAGTCATCTGGAAAAGCACAGGCTGTAACTGGGGATGTGGTTACAGTAGGGCTTTCCAGGGTTGGGAACCCTGAAAAAGGGACAGGTTTGGGAGGGGGAGGGGGAAGAACTGCCCCTTCCTAATCTAGTCTGTCTTTGGAATCTTCCACCCCCTTCTTTTGTTCCCCAGGGACACCTTCCCCAGGCCCGGGTGAGCCACTCCCCTCTTCCTGCCTCCAACCCACCCCGCCCCTCAACCTATCAACCCTCCCCCCAACATCCCCTGAGAAATCCTTCGCTGTCTGCAAACAGCAGGATGACTTGGCTCACGAACTCCAACCGGCAGGAACTGGTCTGAGTCCGAGGAGCCTTAGACCTCCCTTTCCAGGAGTGGCCTGCAGAAAACCGCCTTTGCCGCCCCTTAGGAAAACTTGCTGTGGGGCGGGGCATTACTGCGCAGGCTCTCAGGACACTGGCGGTGTTTTATTTCCGCCGGTTTCTCCTTCTGTCACATTGCCGAGCATTTAACAAACTTTCGCCGGGGACCGGCACCGTGTCCAGCCCTGTGCTCGGTGACGCTGCCGACCAAGCGGTGGGGTACGGAGATAACCTTGGTACCTGAAGCCAGGGGGCCCAGTGACAGTGGGCCCAAACAGTGACAGCCCAGGTCTGGGATGGGGGAGGCACAAAAGGTCATAGGATGCCATGACCCAACCTAGGATGTCAGGGAGGGCTTCTGAGAGGAGGAAACCTTCGAGATGAGTTCTGATGAGAGGCAGCCTGAGGATCGCGGGTATATTTTCACGGTGAGGACACAAGCTTGAAGACTCAGAGGCCTTTCGTTCTCGTTCTTGAGTACTTGCTTTGTATCTGGCGTTGTAGGCACCAGGGTAAGGCAAGGAAGAAAACAGACAGATGCCCTCTGGTTTCGGGGCGAGGGGCGCTTGAGGCTATTTTAGAAAAACAAAGTGAATCGGCGCGTTAGAATCGTCGGGAACAAGGAGTGCATCGAGCCAGATCGCGAAGGGCTTTGTGGCAAAAGAAAGGAGTTCGGACTCTGTCTTCAGGGCGGTAGGGAGCCATGAACTAGTTTCCAGCAGCGGAGGAGGAGTCATCCCGAGTGAGGATGTGTCTAGGGGACCCCAGGCGGGACCACCAAGCGACGGACTGAGAAATCTTGAGGATCAAGAAGGGGCCGCGGGCACCGAGTGGGGGGACGGAAGGAGGTGAAGGGGCGGGGCTGCGGTCGCCCAGGCAACACAAGCCGCGCCAAACTCCTGGCTGGTCTTTGGCGGCGACACCCTCCTCGGCTCCGCGGCCTCAGCCCGAGGAACCCCGGGGGCGCGGCCTCCGC